TTCTGAAGTAATTTCTAGTTATGCATTTATCTGCCCTCACCATATCCTTTTTTCAGGATGGCTCAAACCTTGTCTTTTGCAACTGATGGTACAAGTACCTACTAGAGAAAATCTTTTTTCAAACTTGCCAGTTAAAAAAAGAAGAAGCTGTTATAGAATTCTATAACAGCTTCTTATATGCAAAAATAATTCACAACAATGTACAAATTACAGGGATAATTAAAGGGTATTTCCTCTTTTGCAGAATTTATGATTGAAAGTTTATCTGTTATAAATTTGAAATTTAATAACTATCATTACAACTTTTTTTTATGGATTAACTGCAATGTGCAAGCCATGTTCAATCTTAAAAAATACATTCTAAAGAGCAAGATCTATTCAATAATGTATCAGTTTCAATTTTTAATTTCATCAGTTTCAATGCTTCTGAAATTTAAGAATCTAACTCTAGAAGCTTGCATAAACATGAAAATACAAATGTAATAAAATACTTAAAAATTTAACTCAATTTAAGAAAAAAAAAAAAAAAAAGTGTGCCTGAAATTAAGATAAAGTTAAAGAAAAACATTTAATTTTGTTTGTATAAAAAAAAACTGCATGTATAATATTTATATAAAAATCAGGGTTGCCACTCAAACAGGAGAATGAAATTCCCTGACTTTTCCAGGTTTTCTAAGCATGTTTCAAGAAAATTCCAGGCTATCCATGCAGTGCACACCGGCTGTGCTGAAGGTGAATTTATTATAGTACCACTTGAAAACACAAAAATTTGCCAATTACATATGACTTTATATATATATATATAGAATCCCCAAAGCATTACTTTTGTAACTGTAATAGGTATGTATCAATATAACTATAATAATAATTTTGTAACTATAATAGTTTCTCCACTGAAGATCGAGATTAAAATCTGTTAAATTGGGATTTAAAAATGTCTTTTCGGCAGAAATTTTGCAGCTAAAGGAAGAAAAAAAATCTATTTAATCATATTTTAAAATAAATTCAAATACTTTATTTAGCAGCATACATAAGTAAAAAGTATGTGCCGTAAATTTCGTGATGATATGTCATATTACTGCTAGAATTAGTTTCATAAGTATGCCAGAGAAAATTGCCTGAAATTTGAAAGTATTATTAACTAATAATGAATAAATTTAGAAGGAAGAAGACACATCAAATGATTCGAATAACATTAAAACAAAATTAATTACTTAAGGATTTAAAACCGAATTACAAAAATCGATGGTATTTTCGCAAATATAGATATATTGAATGGTTAGCTTAGATGACTGATTGTTAGTTTTTTTTTATTATTATTATTTTACTGCAAAATGACAAATAAAGCATTTAAGAAAGAAGAAAAGGTTTAAAGATTTTGTTTTATATGAGAATGGATGGAATTTACTTTCGTTCACCCTGCACTGCACATGTGAATCTCTGGATTCTCGAGGTTACTGGAAACTTGTTTTGCATTTCTAATAGACAATCTAGATAGGCGCTGTGAAAATTCACTCTATTCTAGATGTCCAAGGCCTACATTTGCACAAAAATCGCTTTTTTGAGGATCACAGTATGAAATTCCCCGACTTTTTCAGATTTTGACTACACCAGGGGTTCTTAACCAGTGGTAAGCATACCACTGGTTAAGAACCACTGGTTACCACTGGTTAAGAACCAGTGGTAAGCATACCACTGGTGGTGCAAAAGAGAAAAATAGGTGGTATGCAAAGAAGCAAAGTATTTTTAACTATTAAATTCAAAAAAGAAAACCAAAACATCCTGATTGTTTTTCTCCAACACTCGTATGCGATCTGAGCTTTGTACAAGAGTGGTGGTGGTAGTAGTACTTTGTAGTGGTGGTACTAAAGGTTTTCGATTTTTGTTTAGATGGTACGCATTAGTTCAAAGTTTGAGAACAGCTGGACTAAACTATTTAAATTCACGGACCTTTTTGGCCAATTTTCAAATTCTCTGACTTTTCCCAATTTTCCAGATAGTGCGGCCATCCTGAAAAATTTCTAGCAGTTTTCAACCCGAAGTGTTTAAATGAATGGCCATAAAGGTAATTTTCAAACAACTACTGTATCTATAATAATTCACTATTATATCATATCACTAAATATACTATTCATGACCGTTATATTGCAATTTTGAAAATACACAGGAAATGCTACAAAAAACTACTACTAAGTCTTTTATTTACAGAATAAAGCAATATTCCATATAATTTACAACTATGTAAAAAATAAAGAAGAAATTTTGAAATCTTCTTAATAAAAGAAATTACATTTGTTTTCAATTATGACAAAGTATTTTTTCAAATACTGAAATATTCAGCATTTTGACCAAGAAAAAATTTTAAAGTTTCAAACCTTGATAAATTTGTATATAACCATCTAAATAAATGTATAAATTGGGATTATACTAATTTTTATTAAATTTATTTCACAGCATGTAAAGCATACAAGTTTAACAGACTACTGCACCAGCTCCATTTTCCAGTTACTGGATTATACATGGAGCCTTGAACTGAAATAACATGACAATTTAAAGACTGAAGCAGTTCACTTAATTCCTCTGGTGTGATGAATTTGTTCCACTCATGGGTTCCACGAGGAACTAAACCTGTTATATATTCTGCTCCTAAAATGGAAACAACATATGACACAGGAGTTCGGTTAATAGTTGTGAAAAAAAGAGAACCGCCATCTTTTGTTAGATCTGCACAAGAGCGAACAAATGTTCCTACATCATTAACATGTTCAATAACTTCACTACAAACAACTGCATCATATTTATTTTCTGACAAAACGTGGTTTTCTACTGTATCACATACATAATTTAAACGGTCTTTCAAATCTGGATCTTGAGATGCATGCTCACTTGCAACTTTGATATTTTCTGATCCAGGATCAAGTCCAGTGACTGAAGCTCCTAATCTTGCAAGAGGTTCAGACAAAAGGCCACCACCGCAGCCTACATCCAAGACACTATATCCCTTCAGAGGAAAAGATGTCTTTGCAGTAATTCCATTTATGGAAAGGATACCATCTCGGACAAATGGAACTCTCAGAGTGTTCATAGAGCGAAGTAGGCTAGACCAGGCTGTTTTATCACTCCACCACTCATTTGCAGAAGTATCAAATTTCTCCACTTCTTGATGATCAACAGTTGAACCAGAAGAAACTGCTGAAGAAACATGCAGATTTCTACTATGCAAAAGACCAAAGAAACTTCTCGGGATAATTCGAGACCCCAAAGACCAGAGGAAATGTGTGACCATCTGAAAAATATCAGAAGTTCCTCAAAACAATATAACTCTTGTTATACATCTCTAATTATGCTTATAAAAGGCATAAACAACTATCACATTTATATAAGAAAACATGCAGTTACACTACAATTAAAATTAATCACAACAGATCTCGGTATACATTTTCCGATACAGAAAACATGCCTTCCCATGTCATTAAATTCCTTAAAATATAGAAGATTTAATTACATTGTTGGAAATATTGATTATGTGCAGAGATTTTAATATAAACACCCAAAATGTTTTCTTTCTTTCTTTTTTTATGTCTTATGTTTCAGAAATATACAGATTATAATCTGACTCTCATAATATCTGGAATCATGTTTTTATTATGTTTAGCCATTCCTGAACATAACATAATAAAAACATGATGCCTCATAATATCTGGCATCATGTTTTTATTATGTTTAGCCTATGTACATACCTTACAGTATAATACCGATAAAATTGGAATGCCCTTGGGAATTTAAAGGAAGAGTCAACAGCCTTGATTATTGAGGGAATTACCTTCTTTAGCGAATACAAAAACAACTTGTAGGACTGTTGCAGGTACTTAGGTATTTTGTTGTTGACATGAAAGTTGATAAAGACTCCACCAAATGATCTTGGTGAAAGTTTTATGGATTAGATTACTTTTTTTTTAGTTAGCAAATAACAGAACTGTTCCGTATTTAATTATACAGTACAAAGTCCGTAATCTGGACTCGTCGATTCCGGATTATAGATCATCAATTTAAATCTGGTAAGATGGCATGCAGAAATTATACAATTAAAAATATGAAACCGTAATTTATGAAATAAAGAGCAATTATAATCTAAAGGGTATCAAATTTTACAAAAAAAAAAAAAAGCTTAATATTTATTTGTTTACTTTATTAAACATTTTTCCAATGCGCGCATACGTAATGTATGCGCCTTCTTTATGCGCATGTGTAATGTATTTGCATTCTCTGCACGCATGCGTAAAGTTTGTGGCTTTGAGGTCCGGATTATAGATCATTCCGGATAATGGACGTCCTGATTACAGACTTTGTACTGCATAATCAACAAATACAAGTTTAGAATACAGCATATAAATGTCTAAATAACTATTAGCTCAAACATTCATTAAAATTAATACCAATCCTTCTAGGACTCAAAAGTCCTGAAAGGAATATAAAACAACAAAAACTATCCCCTTCTTTATGAACTTGATGCCACATAAACTCATTTAAATACAAATCTAAGGGGTGTCACGCTTTTCTGTAAGATCTTTTCTTATGTCTTTTTGACGAATTCCATAGCCTTTTAATGCTTTGACTATGCACATCAGAGCATAGCCAGACCTGCAATTTTGTAAATACTCCACTACATGCTGTTCTGTAGAAGAAAGAATGAAATTGTAACCCTTTTTTGACTCTACTTTTATATGTGCCCAAAGATCATCAAATGTGGTGATATGTGTTCTGCACTGGTTTTTGGCACGGTTGTATGGCAACCCTTTTGACATTGAAAACTCTTTTGCTGGAGTGGTTTAATTGCTCATTGGTTTGTGTTGTGCGTGTTGGTTGGCCAATGTTGCAATGAGAGACATGGTTGCAAGAGGGTCTGGGAGATTAGTGTCTGTGCATGATAGAAGTAAGGAAATGCTGATGCAGTGTATTAAAGAGTGGATTGAGCCTTGTGCAACTATTTTTTTTTTCCGGATGGCTGGAAATCTCACAAGGATTTAGGAAAAGAAGGTTTTGAACATTTATTTGTGAACCATAGCATGAATTTTGTGGATAGCGAGTCTGGCTGTCATATCACGGAGTACATGGTGGCATGTTAAAGCTACATTCTACTGTCCGAAGACACATCCATTATGGGTAAGTGCATTTTATTTTATTGTTTTTACTTTGTAAAATGTTATATTCATTGTTTTTTTACTATAAATTTCTGTTGGTTATTGTTGTTGAATTATTTGTAATTTATTTTAGTTTATTTAGTTGATTTATGCGGAATGCCGAGATTTTGCAATTCGTAGATTTTTTTTTAAGGTTTAAACATAATGCTGTGTACATGGTACTCTTTGAAATTTATTGTTGTTATGTTAATTTATTAAAGCGAGGTGTGCGTAGTTAGTAGATTCGTTTGTTGCCTAGATTGTGCCATTCGTAGATTTTATTTTTTAACGTTAAAACGTATCGCTGTGTACATGGATTCTTAGTCAAATATTTTTGGCTAGAAATTTTACGTTTTTGTTATCTAAATTTTTTGTTTTTGTTTCGGATTTTTAGCTTAAAAAGTTGTGTGTTCAAAACGTGGATTTTTGCATGTGCGAAAACCATCGTTTTTGGAGACACTTTAAGCTTAAAGTTCGAAATGTTAGACAAAAAAATTTAGATAGTAATATGGCACCATGGAGTTTCTTGCAAAAAATTTTTGGCGAGAAATTTGTCACCAAGCCAGGGCGTATATAAGTGCAGTTCCCCTTTTTTTAAAAGATACTACAGAGAAACAGAGAAAGGTAAAATCCTAGTATACGGTGCAGCCTTGGCGCAATTTTGAAAATTATCGCCAACACCAAAAATGATCCAAAGAACGTCTATATATATACTATACACTATATACTATGTATGTATATAACACAGTATATACACTATATATATAGTATATACTATGTATAACTATATATATTCTTTGAATGACCTGTTTACTACTCATCGTATATGTCGCGTATAAATGCTCATCATAAAGTAGCCAAATCCCGTGTGCACCAGATACTAGGATTAAACCCAGAGAAATAGCAGCTAATTTATAATTACCTTACAAAACCTAACCTGGCTAATTGAAGACAAAGCAAAGTTCTTATTAATGTATAATGACATCACGCTTATCCATTACTGGTGAAAAATTATTGCACTGTTTGGAGACATTATTGAAAATAATGAATGGCAAAATACATAAGTGTCTGGTTGTTTTATACAACTGAAAGGGGGAATCAAGGAGCAAGATTGGAAAAGTTAGGAGGATGGTACAGGACTATTTTGTTCATGCTTTACAAAACCAGACAATAATACATGAATGAAAAACAGAGTGACACTAATTTATGGGAAAACAGCTAATTTATGCTGTACCTGCAAGTTTTTTAATTGCACACGAATGCTTTTTGTGAACATTCTGTTGCACTTTCTGGGAATTTTTTTGACAATTAATAGATATTCTACAAGCATGTTATCTGAGTATAAGAAACTAATATCATCACCTTAAACTCATGGCTGTTTTTCCATTTACCTGATGAACTGCATGAAAATTTTGGGTCATAGAACAGCCTAGATTTTGATAAAAGCTAATTGCTCTACCTTCAACATGGCTCATTTACATACATAAAACAAAAAATTTACAAAGGAGATAAGTTATACAATTATCATATATATCATTTAACTGCTTTTCAAAGTGAAGCAGCCATAGTTAATAGAATGACATAATATAAAATAAAATATTTTAAGTTACTTTTAGTTCACTTTAAACATTATTACAATTTGGTGAATATTCTGATTTAATTAAATATAAAAAATACAGCACATTTTATAGCAATTTAATGAGATACTTAAAAGTAAATAACACATTAAAAATACCAAATATTACAAGGTTATTACCAACATATTTATGGTAACCTTTCCCCTTCCCCCAACAATTCTAGTGGACTTTTAATCATTTTATTATTATAAAGAATCAGCAGCAGCAGTAAAATTCAGCATTCTTTTGCTAGTTTCAGTTTGCAAGTCTATTCTAAACATTTCCTTTAAATTTACAGGTATAATTTAAGTGAGTAAAGATGAATTAGTTAACAGACTTTTAACTAAATGTTTCACATAAGTGTTTATAAAATAAAATTTTTAAAAAATGCCCAGTTCTCAAAATCGTGTATTTATATCACACGATTTGGAGGCAAAAGAGAGATAGCATTAGTAAATTGCTCGAATAAGCCGCTGCATAAAGTACTTAAAATGATGGTTATATACATATTTATATATTATATTTATTACACATAATTTTATAGTACATATACATAATCTTTCTATATATATTCATAGAGTTTCTTTGCTTATTTAAAACACATGTTAAACCACCTGATATTGGGTAATCAGAGAAATAAAGAGTACTTTTCCGTTTTGCACCTGCCATGTTTTTGACGTATTTGAAAAGGAAGTGCCATTTGGGCTATCGTTGTGCATGTTTGAGCGTATATCTATATAATATTCTTATAACTAGAAATAGTTTACAATTTAAGTGCATAATGGAAAAGCACTGTGAGTAATCTTGACTCTCAAATTACATCGTTAATGGGCATGAAAATGCATATAGTATGACAGCACAAGGAGTTGCAATTATCATTAATAACTTATTCTGTACTTACTTACCTTCGAATAATGTATCACTCGATCAAGCATTTAAGCATAAGCATTTAAGCATAAGCATTGATTTAAGAGAACAAAAGAATAATCTTCGACTTCGGGAAACTAGTAAACAAACTATGTACTAGTGCACTTCACAGCTGAATCTTTCTGCTCAGAGACTAGCATTTTGTTGCAAATAATATTATTTTGCTAATATAAACCAAGAAGAAATAATATGGATTAAATACCATATTTATTAATTTCTTTTTCAGTGTCTTTGATAAAGTTTTTACCGTTCTGAAAATTAAGAATCTGCATGACTTCTACAAAATTAATTTCAGACATTAGTTCAGCAGTCTTAATTTGGCATCCAAAATAAATTCTGTTTATATTTTCTACTTTCTGATTCTTTATTTTGCATGTATATGTCCTTTTCTTATTTTTTACATCTGTAATGATAAATGCTTTTCTTCCTTGCACTTGCTTGATTTTAAATTTAATTCATCAAGCTCCAAATTGAAAATAAGGATTATTTAGCATCAAGAATAAAATGCAATAATTTTTGACAACTGGGAAAGCAATATGAATGGTAAATGATAAAAAGTTCAAATCATGTCTAAAATATTTATTTTACTAGGAAAAAGAGAATGAATGAAAAAAGTCAGGCCTAAAATTTGAGCAGTAGACATTAAATCTTAAAGTTTAATTTCATGAATAGGAGCATGGTATAAGCATGTCCAGGGGGAAATATGCATTAACCCTTGTTATTTAAGTAATACGACGTATGTGAATGAGTCTGGCGCGAGCCATAGGTGTGGATTAAAAGCACAGAGCTCTAGTGTACAATTGGGTGCCCCTTCAATTAGCGACATTTTTTTTTTTTTTTTTTTTTTTAAATTTTGGCGATGAAACCTCATTTTTGGTTACCACGATAGTTTTAACTTTGTTTTAGCTTCCTGATTTTATTTAAATGAAAATAGATTGATGTGTACATGGGCAAATTTAAGCCAGTGCACAATGTCTAGTTTGTGCAATTCTAGGATTTTTTTTTTTTTTTTAAGTGAAAACAGATCGATTTGTACATGGACACAGAAATTATGTGCAATTCTTTGACTTCTTATTTTGGTTTTGTGCAGCGGCCATCTTAAAATTGTGCCTTTCTGGTATCGATCTTGGCGTCAAAAAAGAATCGCCAAGAAACAAAGGGCACCCAATTGTAAACTTTTACCAAGCACAGCTTCACCGCATATTTATATAAAGAGTTATAAATAAATCGCATATTTATTCATTTATATGCATTATACTTTATATTTAATAATTTATAATTCTTATTAGCAGACAATTTTTATGTTTTAAACAATATAAAACTTTGTTTTTGCAGTTTTATGTTGAAAACGAGGAAAATATTACATAAAGCCCAATAAATGCACGAATAATTTATAATTTAATGCAGCATTTTCTCTACTTTGATATGTTTTAGGAAATTCACCTATTTAGGTTTAAGTATCAAAGAACTAAAAATCAATTAAATATTACATTTTAAAATTCATTTAACAAATATTTCAGTGATTTAATTAAAACTCAGTTTATTTCGACAGTTAGTGCGAAACTCTAGCATTTTTAAAATACTCATATGTAACAAATGGGATTAGAATTAGAATAGTAACTACAAAATTTGTATTGATACATAGACTGTAAACAGGACGATTTTAGGTCACTGTATACATAGTGCGTAATCTACCACTTTTAGATATTTACTTTTTAGATGTCGCCACTAAAAATTGGTTGTTCTTTTAATACTTTATTTTATGTTGCTGTCATTTCTAACATTTTTCGTTCATGTATATATCTGAACGAATCATAAAAAGGCCCTTTTAACACTCAAAGAATAGATATAATAAATAAAAGGACCTGTTTTCCAACTTATAATTTCTTATTAAACTAATTTTACAAATTCTTTCTTTTGGTTCTTAAAAAGAAATTAAAGATTTCAGCTGACGGTAGATTGAAAATAGTAACCGTGATAAGCATTTGCAATGGAAAACCGCTGTGACTTAGCAAAAATTCCCCTATAAAAGAAAAAAAAACGTGAACTACGAGCAACTGCGAAAAACCGTTACATTGGGAGCTTGAATTAATTCTCGCTGTTGACGAAAAAAGGGCAGTAGTTGTACTAATGCATAGAGATCCAAGACGTATCTAACAGTACAAAACCTTAGGCTTTCAGATCTGTGTGTGACTTTTGAGTGGAGTGAAAAGAACACAAATTTCGTAGATGAAAATATTAGTTCACTTGGGTAAACAACCGAAAGTGCGTTCTCTCTCTGTTGGCTCTGACTTCAGTGAAGTTCTCCTTCCTCAAATTAGCATATACCTTTACATTGATTTACGTTGAGTGCAAATTTGTACTCGACTGTTAATTTTTTTTTCCTATCACAATCATTATTAAATTTACATAGCATAATGGTTGGTACTCACTGCGTGGCTGTATTAGGCCCTAATAAGGTGCGCAAAATAGAAAATAATCAGCAAAGCGTATTATTTCATACATCTAGAAATTTAAAGTGTGTATTAATTTAATGTTTAAATTAATGAGATGTTATGTTAAATTAAGATAATTATATTAAATTATTGTTTAATTAAGTGGTTTAATGTATAAATAGCAGTAGTGTATGTTGTTTTTAATTCCCATATTACTTATATTAATTAATTCTTTAATATATTATGCATTCTCTCATGTGCATTTAAGTACGAACTGTGAAGAGACATAAGTGAAACTGAAAATTTAAATTATTAAAGAGAGATATGTAATCGACTTACCGTAGCTCATGAGAAGCTTAGGTAGTTACTGTAACTGACAGTGCAAAGAACTTGAATAGTTTCCTGTACCCCGTTTAAAATAAATTTGTGTACTTTTTCGTTTCGCCGGCGCAAATCTCGCCAAGCAGACTTTATTGGCAACAACACACAGTATACACATAAAAAAATGTTAACAAATGTTAGGTCTAAGAATTTTTTATTTTGAATGCATAAACCTTTTAATATCGTTTAAAATTTTGTAAAAATCATAAATTTGTAAAAAGACATTAGTTTAAGAATTTATTATTCAACAGGCTGGTTCGCCAGTTCATATCACGTGACCCCAAGTGATCTCATCTCATGTAAACTACCATACAAAAATCTAATTATCTTAGTAATTATCTACATTAATTCCAAGTTAAATCTTTATTTGGAATACAAGTTTAAATGCAAGAATGATTTCAATTCGTACGAATAGCTTACTCAGAAATTATGTAAAACCGCAGTGCTTTACTTCGCTAGTGTATTCTCATTAGAATTGATGAATTTAACCCTTGACTTTGCCTTTTCTGTATTTTCGCCTTCCAGTGAGAGGTAAGATTGCATTCTAATTTACTTAATTACCGCGAATGGGCTTAGGGCATAAAATTGTACTTTCTGGTAAAAATTCTATGTAATTGCATGCTAGTATTGAAAGAACCAGTCAATCTGATAAGAAATGGCTGCGACTTGTTTTAAAAACGAGGCATAAAAGGTTACGAGCGAGGATATTCCTTTTGGCATTATTGGCGGCTTTATCGCCTGCGACGGCAAAACGGAAAAGTACCTAAATTTGTTATTAACATTCGTAATATTACATTCATTCGAAATTACAAGTGTTTTTTCGGTGGATGGATTTATGTTTTCTCTCAGCAAGGATATTTGAATCATCATATATTATATACCGATGTCTGCCACATTTAAATTTAGAGAAACTTTATTTGAATATTTTAACTATTTTTCAAAATACAGAACTGTGCAAGTTATTAAAATGATGTTTAAATTACTATTCAAGTTATTATACTGTTTAAGTTATTGTACGGTACTGTTTGGTAATGTAAGAGAATTTAATGGATCTGCATCAGATTCTTATTGCCATAGAACCTGGATTAACATATTCAACCAGAATTACAGGTAAAAGTATTACTTTTATGACTTTTGCTTTAAGTGCATAATTCTTTAAAATTTAACATATGGTTTCTGAAGAGAATTTGAAGTTCTGAAGAAAATTGCAGAAGCGATTGGACCTAAATAAGGCTCCAGCAACATAAATAAATTTAAATCTCGGCCAAATTAGGTTCCAAACATTAGGGAGAAGTTGGTTACAACTTTAAATATCAGACAGAGAGTTAGGTACATAATAAACGGCCTTAATTTGAGTTTCTTCTAATTCAACACTTTTCTTTTTCAACACTACATATTTTCAAATTTTTGTAAAATGTGGGTTTTTCAGTTTGATCATGCTAAAGTGAGTAACGTTATAAATAGCTGAATCTTGAATGGTAAATTCTTTAACGAAGTTTGGAAGATTTCTGGTGAAAGAATAAACTAGTAAGGAAAATTTTCTTAATTAAGACTTAATTCTTAATTAAGACTTATTCTACACAGTAAACAATACTTGAAGAAATACTTTTCGACTTCAAATATTAGAATTTTTATTTTCTCAATGAAAAACAGAAAATACATCGGAAGGAAATTCGAAACTACTATTACGAGCAGCTACAGCGAACTTCAGTGATGTCACAGCCTAATGAGTCCCTGACTTTTCGTATGTTTAACCAAGAGCTAACCTGTTCTTCTACCGACCTTGAAAAGAACATATCTATTTAGTGCCTAGAATAAGTTGGGTTTTGTACTTATAAAGCACCAGCTGCAGAAGGTGTTGCTCTTCTGCTTTCATTTCAAAAAATCTACCGCGAAAAGTCAACGTTTGCTAGTGGAAGCATATGGAGAACATGCTGTGTCGGAAACTATGCGCAGAGATTGGTTTAGACGATTCAAAGACAACAACTTTGGGGGTGAGTGACAAAATGTGTTCTGGTCAACCGAAAAAGTTTGTCGATGAACAGTTAGCGCATTGCTGGCAGAATATTCATCTCAGATTTTCAGTTGTCTGAAACACTACATGTGGATACGTCAACGGTTGTTAAGCATTTAAAAGAAATGGGATGATTCAGAAATTGGGAAAGTGCGTACGACGTGAATTGACAGAAAGAGACGTTGCGAAGCGTTTAATCATTTGCTCCAAAAACAAAACCGGAAGTATTATATGCATGAACTCAGGGACGCATCGCTGTGAACCATCAACATCAGCATCAAAACCGGATATTCATGGCAAGAAAATTATGCTGTGCATTACGGGGGGGGGGGATCAAATCGGTGTGGTGGAATACCATGAGCTGCTGCAACCAGGTCAAGCGGCAATTCAAAATTAAATTTCCTTCAGTGCGAGATTCAAATTGAGTAACTGTTTTGTAGGGTTCAGCATTCACTGCTGAACGCTACGAAGCACAATTACTCATTTGAATCGCGCACCTAAAGCCCGCAATGTGCTCAGAGATATGACAAAGTAAACCCGCTTCATGTTAGTGCCAAACCACATGTTGCGAACCTACTAAAGGAAGTCTCGAAGGGACTTCAATGGGGTGTCTTACTCCATCCGCCATATTCACCAGACATCTCCCTTCCGATTACCATTTGTTTCGGTCCATGCAACATGACTTTTTTGAACAACACTTCACATATTTTAACAATCTCCAAAATTGGCTAAGTGGATCATCTCAAAAGAACTTGAATTTTTTATTGCAGAATCCATTTGTTATTCGTAAATTGAAAAATGTTGTAACTGCTGAACAACACTACTTTCAGTAAATTATGTTATGCCAGTATATTAAAAAATAAAAAAAAAAAAAAAAAAAAAAAAACCATTTGTTTTCTGTCTAGCAAATAACGTGAATTAATTCAAGTACCCAATATCTTAAAATCGTAGTTAGAAGAAACGCGTATACGCAAATCGGCAACCGTTGATAAAACGTTTTATTTTAAAAGCAAAAGTTTTCACTAGCCGAAGAACTTGTAGCCACAAGCACGTACGAAAAATCATTACATTTTAAAAACAACGCATACGCAGATCGGCAACCATAAACGCAGTTTCTCGCCAATTCAAAACCGAGCGAAATCTACTTTATCGCCAAGGCCACTGGATAAGTCAAGTACCCCTATTTATCTGAAATGTTCGACATATTTGACAAAAAATATTAATTTATATGTTCAAACATGTTTAGAAAATCTTGCATAGTTTGCTCATTGTATAAGAATGATGTAGGTATGAACAATAAATCTTGAAGTACGTGATTCTTGATGTATGTTATTCTTAATGTATTTAATTTTTGAAGTTTTTCATCTTAACAGTTGGACGAATCATCGCTGCAGCTCTTCTGTTCTTGAGCTTAATTTTTCTTCCTGGAATTATATCCATAATTGTACAAGATATGGATGAAAATGTAGCTGAAAGTAAGTCATTCGTTTTCTGTATTCTTCTCCTTAATTCGAATTGTTAAGTCCTGTCTTGCACATCTCATTATTTTAAAACCAAGTTAACTTTTTGATTTCAGCTAATGGTAGCTTCATTACTGTTTTGCCATCCCTCTCAACTTCAAAATTAACCTTTAACTGCTAGCCTTAGAAATGGATTAAAATTTTGCTACTGAGAAGTCTGTCAGATAGACATTTTTATTAGTTTTTAGATGATATAAAACTGGAACGATTCTAAAAGTTATTTTATAATAATATTAATAGAATGGAGACTACCATAAAAACAGTTATATTTATATAATTGCAATCGAAATGCGAATTTCATTTCCCATCAGAAACGAAGTTCTAGAGTAACAAAAGTGCGTACGAAAAACAATTAGAAGTTAAAAAGAACATGCTAAAATTTGTTGGGTTGGGTTAGGTTAGGTTACGTGAATGCAGTAGAGCCACGAGGGTTCTCTGCTTAAGAGTAGGGATGCCTTCATGGAGGACTTTCTAAAAGAAAATGGCTTGCATTCACGTTACAGATAGGAAAAACCATGCAGTAACCATGAAGCCAGCCCGTTGGCCTGCGTTCGAACTCAATAGCAGGTCGAGCTACCTGTATTCAGCAGGCTTACTAGCGTCTACATCTCAAAACGGCAGCCTATGAGACAGGCGATTCTATTATTTTCATCGGGGAATAGGGAAGTTAGAATGGTTTTCTGAGGAACGCCAACGGCAGTGGACTATATGTTTGCTTACATTTGGAAGTTCAAAAAATTGGAAAGGTGGATTGCCTTAGTTTCTGCGGTTACTTTCAGAGAAATATTAGGCAGCTTTTTTTTTTTTTTTGGTTTGCTGATAGAGGGCAAATAGATAATTTACCTTTATAATTTACCTTTATAAAAAACAATACATCAATAATTAAAACAATTATTTATAGTTCATTATTAAAAACTTTTTATAAATGCATAGTTATCATATAATTAACAATTCATCCATGCATTATCTCATTATTTATTATAATTAGAAGAGAAGATATTTTTTAATGTTTAAAAATTTGCTGTTGTCTTTTAAAAGATTTACAAGTCTTAAGATTATGTTCTGTTGTGTTAAATATATTCGCTTCATCTTAAATCTTCTGAAGTTTAAATAGATAAACGCGGATTATAAATGTAAATTGTCTATTTGCCCTCTATCAGCAAACCGAAAAAAACTGCCTAATATTTCCTTGTAAGTAACCGTAGAAACTAAGGCAATCCACCTAAGCAATTTTTTGAACTTCCAAATGTAAGCAAACATATAGTCCACTGTCGTTGCATTCCTCAGAAAACCATTCTAACTCCTCTACTCCCAGATGAAAATAATAGAATCGCCTCTCTCGTAGGCTGCCGTTTTGGGATGTAGACGCTAGTCAGCAGGCTTAATCATTCGGCTACTGGTGAGGCTCTAAAGTTTGTTAAAATTAAGCTTTGGCTAATAAAATTGAATAGAAGTTCTTTTTGGTGTGCGGGATACAAAAATTTTAGAAATTGAAACTGACAATTTGTAAGAGGACAAGAAATTATTGAAACTAGGGTAACTTGAAAAAACTGCTTTATATAAACTGTAAGTATTTTACATAAGCAGAAAATAATGGGAATATCATATTACCTTCCACGTAGCATATATATCCGTGTAGACTTTTGTTAAAGTGGGCTTTTATCAATATGGGTTTATATTAATTTGTGCTTTTATCAACGTGGAATTTTATCCATACGGGCTCTGCGTGGGCAAGTGCGTGAGTATTAAATTTTAATGAAACAAACCAGAACTGGCGGTTGAAACATTTTCGTTCCATAAAGTGAACTAAGAAAAAATAGACATATAATTAATTTAATCAGTCCTTTCTGTTCTAGTTAGTTTGTTGCCCGACAGGAATCTCCGCTACTCGTTATAGAACTGTTTAGCTCGTGAGTTCTATAGAATCATTTTAATTTACACCTTTTTCAGTTTCTGTTATTTTTAAAATGGCAATAGACAAAGTAGAACATCTTGAAAATAAGACTAAAACTGCTGTAAACATTGCAATTGGTAGACACTTTGGAAATTAGCTAAAAAACAAATAATATAGTTTGCATTTTCATTACATATTTGCCTGTTTCGTTTGTGATGTAAATATATATATATATATATATATATAAATTTAAAAAAAAATTACAAATTAAGATAAAATAACGCGCCGAACGAGTAATAATTTAGAATTCAAACAGCAAAAATCAGTGTTATATTTGCAAATTTTCGCAGGACTTGTTTCGATGGTTTTACCGAACCATCATCCTCAGCTGCCAAAACGCAAATGAATATAACGCTGATTTTTGTTGTTTAAATTCTAAATTAATACATTAGAAAATTGTTCTGGTATTTGCATCTTATCTCAGCAAAGGCACATCCGTAAGCAGCAGAAATTAACTTGCCAAACGTTTTTTTGGTTTATTTAATTAGGGAAAGCATCGGAGAGCTATTTGCCTAAGAGAACAGGTGCCTTATGGAGGCTTTCTAAGAGAAAATGACTCTTATCTAAGTGCATGGTGAAAACAAGGAAGTAACAGTCTGTTCGCCTAGAATCAAGCCCATATCGAATGCAGTGTTCAATGATTCGGCCGTTTGTGGAACCCCCCCCCCCCAAAAAAAAAAATATCTATAACCACTCCTACACCTTCAACGTGTTCTTTCACTCATTTTTTTCCCGAGAATCATTGTTGTTTTCGCCCTTCAAGCCAAACAAACAAACAAACAAAAAATATTTCGCGAGTTTAGAATTAACGCTGTTATTTCAAATGGTATAATAATTAGAATTCATAACCAGATGGCGGGGCAGCATGTCAGTTGCAGTTTTTAGAATGTCGTCTACATAGCTCCGCCACTGAATTCGTCTCGTGCCATTGTGATGCAAAGCCTCCTATGGCATGGATTCGATGTTCTTGTGCCTTTCTTTCTTTACCATCAACTTCCAAAGTGGACTTTCTGCTCGTCATTATTAAGTGCTCACATGCTGCAAAAATACTGTACGCAGTATTACTGAAAGACACACATATAATCAATCAATCTATATACGTGTTTCGGCTAGCGAAAGCCACTATACATATTTATGCCCTATCTTTCGTATTAGGCAGAAGGGGTGAGAGAAAAATCAGAGCAACCTCAAACGACAAGGGTTAAAAGAAAACCAACTTACTACAAACATGGGACCTCAATCCAGGAATGAAAACTTAAAAAAAGAACTCTTTCTTAAGCCCCCATTGCTGAACCGGCTACCAATGCAATCATCTCTCCTACGTATACAGAAACTATGAGGGTGAGGGGAAGGGAGGCAATTGTTGACTCCATGTTATTGACCGTCACGCTATCTACTCTGATTGCCGAAGCTACTACTGTCCGACAAAGAATAGGCTTCCCTTTCTGGAACTAGGAACCAGGTTCACGTATTTACCCCTCAGCATGCATTTATCATGTATACAGTACATATCTTAGATAGGACCAGTAAATGACCCCGCGGGGGAGGACACATAAGTAAACCATATAAATCTTATTCTTGATGAAAAGATAACTTTCATCAACCATTGTTTATGAAAAATACAATTATTCTTGCATAGGCAATTACAAAGCTGATGAGACGTTTATGAGTGCTTATTCTATAATTTGGTGAAATTCTCCTTTACGATTAAAACTAGAAGAATAATTTATCTGCAAATGATTTAGCCTGTTTTTCTGGTATGCTAAAGCTAATGTATTTACTTCAACAATCGCAAAACTAGGTTCTGAGAGTTACTCTGAAAGTTCCTTTGTTTATTAGAAATGCTGTCTTTCATTAGGATCGAAATATTAATCCTGTTGACAGTGAGATTCTGATTTACATGGCATTACAGCAACTGAAATAGCACTAGCTCTGACTTAATTAATAGTTTAGGAGATAATAATTTCTGATTTAACAGAAAGGCAACCTACGGTTATTCAGGAAGTGGTAAATGCTTTTGTACAAACTTGTAGGTTTTTGCCTTAATTACAAACCCTTGTAATTATGCTAGTAAAGGCATCAATCTGTTGTTACGTGCCTTTGCTAATGTGGCCCAATCTACGGCAGATATGTCTTGCTGTATGCAGTCCTTGCCCTGGAGATTGACTGGGGCAACCCCCGGCGTTCTGGCTAAGACCTATACTCAAACAAACTCGGTTCCTAGGATACTGAATCAGTCTTCACAGTGACTAGAACCATCGACAATTCGGTGGTCCATTTAGTCGCGGCAGAGACCGTAAAGGTATTGTCAAGTATGTCTTGTGCTGTGTGATTGCTACATGTTAGATATTTCAAAGGTTGTTCTCGGAGGTTCGTCCCCTTGGTCAGCTCAGGGATACTGACGTTGTCCTTGTTTTTTTCTGTTTTTTCGGTGACAAACTGTTGTTTGATGGCTCATAAACCTTACCTTGCTCAATGTCGCCCGAGATTGATCTTTTGGGGTTGCACCCTCATGGATCGCCTTTACGGGTTTAGGTTTCACCCCGTGTTAAAAGCTTTTAAAAGTTCAGGTCAGGAAGTCTCTAATAAGTAGTGCACTAAATGCAGTCCTTCCAACTTGTTTGAGATGAATTATTTTCTTTATGAGTCTTTTAATTACTGGGAAATTACCAAATAGTGAAATGAAAGCTGCATAATTTATTTGTTGTCCCGATTGGTGTACCTTGGATTTAAGATATGAGTTATTTAAATGTAGCTCTTTCTGCATTTTTTAATTAGAAAATTGATATATAAGTCAAATGTGTATAATTCTGTCATCAGAGACCGATAGGATAAGACCGCTGAACACTTGTAATTTAACCCGACCGTAGAGTAGAATACATCAGATGCTAACTAAATGAAATAACTTATTTTTGAGCTGGGACATTAATGGAAGGACTATGTTTCGTTATTAGTCAATATATTCTATGTACTGGTATGTAACGAAGTAGGCACAGGCGTTTTACTATCTTTTTGCAGGTGGACTACCTAAACAATGGCTGTGGAAATTAGAGCGATCTAAAGTGGTCTGTTCTGGAAGCTGCTTGTTCCTTGCCTTTCAGTGCTTGCGAATGGAGGCCATACCACAGACGATTTCTTTCTTATCTGATAGTGAACAGCCTGGCTGTAACATTTTGTACCGCTTTATTTTACCCTGGATATGTGCGCGGTAAGCTCGATCAGTTACTTCATTATGACTTTTCTTTTCAGCTATACCAAATACTTTCTCATGAAGTAAAATACCGTATTTACTCGCATATTACTCTCTCTCTCTGATAATCTCCGCCCTTAAGTAATAAAAATTAATTTAATTGCGTAATTTTCCACTTATTCTTTGAATTTAGAAGTTAGTTCCTGCACCAGAGTAATCAATATCTGCAATTTCTTAAATTGCCCTTCTCTGCACATGTATTTTAAAGCCGTTTATTTAAGTTCAAAGTAGGGATGGGCAAAAGAGCTGTTTTATGGAATCGGATCAGAACCAGTCGCCTACTAAAATGAATCGGTTATTTTTTACGACTCAACGCTCGTTAACAATGACCTTGAATAAATGATCCACAATGAGGGATGTATCAACAGCGGTTAGCGAGGATGGAGCAAAGATCGGAAAGAATCGAACGAGCAGTGGGCTGGGGACCGGCTAACGATTTTCGAGCGAAGAACGAAAAAAATCGAACGGGCAATGGGATCGCGACCTGTTAGTGAGGTTGGAACGAAGAGTGGAAAGAATCAAACGAAGAGCAGGGTCGGAGGAATCGACTCAATTGAGCGCTAACTCCCTGAACTGATTTCTTATGATGTTTCCTAGAATCACCTTTCGACACACAGAACGAGAAATAAAATTTTAGAACACATTTATTAAAGTTTCGAAATGATGAAAATTGAATTCACTATCGTGGGAGAAAACACATTCTTTTCTACCCTAAAATGGGAATTGAACTTTCCTGCAACGTTTCCACCAGGAGCTCAACTCTTTTTCGAGAAACGAGCGGTCACTGTCTTGGTAAAGTAAATCAGTTTGTGAACGAATACCTGATAAAAAAAAATGTAAGCATCCGTAATAATACATCTATGAAAATTCATCATTAATAATATATCCATGAAAACGGTTCACAGTGTCAGTATCACTTTCATTAAACAATGCATGGTTAATCTTTTTATCAGATGCACTTTCCGCATGTTGAATGGGAGTATTATGGTCATTCTTTAATTATACCTGATGAAAACCAGCTTTTATCATAAAGTTCAGATCTGTTGTTCTTGTAACGGTTGTCGTGGAAGCGACGTTTTTTAGCTTTTTTACCCAGAAGCCCTTTCATTATTTTCCATCACAAATATAATAAACATGTTTATCACTGCATCAAAAACACTAACGCAAAATCAAAAATTCAGTACCAAATACTAAATACTGTAAATATCAATTTAGCAGAATCAAACAACGAACACGGAAACATGGCATAAGTAAACATTCAGAATAAATATTGAGTAGAAACCTTGCTACTGCTTGCTGGTGAAATAAAAATCAGACATGCAAGCTGAAATACAATATAAGAATGGAATATCCAGTTCTCACCTCAGTATTGAGGTATCACCGGAGCCATAGGCTAAAAGAATCTAATTAATCCAGCAATAGCTAAAATTTTGTAAAACAATTTTGAATAATTTAAAACCTAGCATAAATTTTTAAGTTCGTTAACCAGAAGATGTATTGGCCTCGCCAACATCTTTATTGATATTTGGATACAAAAATTACAATGATCAATTTATATGTAAAAGAGAAGAGATAATAATCGTATAGTAATACAAGAGTAATATAGATTCAATGAAACAGTGAAGTATGAGATACAAAAATTACAGTCTTTACATTTTTGATTAATACAAAATGTAGAATAACATACAACATTTATAAGCCGTTACAGATCAATGTTAGACATAAATTATATTTTCATTAGTTTATTACATATTCCATAAGTTTAGATAGATGAATTCGACCTTTTTCTAATAACAGTAGTTTACCCAGAGGATCGAAGTTTAGATTTTGAGGAAATAGTTCTTGTCGTTTACTGTCCAAACTTGGGCAGTCTAGAATCATGTGGAGTGCATCTGCTGAATCTAAGCCGCAAAGACAGCGACTTGGAGGATTTTTAATCTTGAATCTGTTAAAATAACAGGGAAAGGCTCCGTGATTCGATAAAATTTGATTAATGAAAAAATCATTAAAGTGTCTTCTCTCAGAAATTTTAGGAAGGATTTTGAAAGTTGATCTACCAGTTTCTTCTTCTTGCCATCGGCGTTGTCACAGGATGAGGGCTTGCTCTTTGGCTTTACGCACTATATTATTAAGTGGAATTTTACAATTTATTCTCTCCGTGGAAGAAATACCCTTTTTGGCAAGCTCATCTGCTTTCTCATTTCCTCTGTAACCGCGATGGCCTCTTATCCAATGTAATTTTGCTTTAGTTATAAAGACGAGCTTTTTAACTTCTATGATTTCTGAATTTAAACATATCAAACTTTGCCAAAGATTTTAAAACTGCTTGACTATCCGTGTATAATTGGGCTTTGCATTTATGATCTTTTAACCAGAGAAGAGCTGATTTCATCGCTTGTGTTTCCGCTTGGTAGACGGAACAATTTTTATCCAGCTTGTATGAGTATTCTAGTGAAGGATCATATTTCATGAAGGATTATCGTGTCCTTATTACCTTTACTTTTTAATGATATCTCCCAAACTATATGGAATATTTTAACACAGTTTTTTTTAAATGGGCGGAAATGTTCAAGCTGTGAGGAACAAATCGTAAATATGAAGTGCTTGGATAGAATGTGGCTTATGAATGTTTTCAACCATCATGTACTTTAAATCAAAAGAGCTTTAACATCACAGCAAAAAGTAAAAGTATTTTTACAGAAATTTCTTGGCTGTTTTCATGCCTTCAGCCCAACAAATTAACTTTTTAAAGCTTCAGCTAAGGGAAATAACGGATGTTTTTCATTAAAGGAGAATACGCGCCAAACACTTTTCTACAGAAAAATATATGAGCCTACTGTTCAGCCTTAAATTCTGTTTCGCTCTTAGCTTTTTTAGCAGTGTTTTTTGCTTCAAAGTAAGCATAGTTAATAAAAAGTTCTTAAAGCTTGTCATTCTGTTTCACTCTTAATTGTTGAAATAAATCTGTCAAAACTGATTATGAAATTTATAACGAGGTAATAAAAAGCTAAACGAGCTGGGGAGAAAACGCAGGTACAGCTTTTAACAGTCCGGAATTCTGCGATAAGAGTATGAAATGTTGAAAAGCAAAGCCAGAAGCATATTCACAAAGCCTACAGACCTTTTATACTACGGTCTGCTCTCATTGGATGAAACGTATTCTTGGCGGTCATTTTCGGAATGGTGAGTTATCACCTTGTAGCGAACGCCAAACACACCTTCTGGGCTTTCAGTACAGAGAAACGGCCTTTGTTTCATTAGATAAATTTTTATTTTATAAATGAATGCAAAAGAGAATTATGTGAAATACATTTTAAACAATCTACTGATCTTATTAATAGTTTATTTGTATTTGGCTAAAGAATGAACTAAAACTGTTAAAAGTTTAGTAATTATTTGCCAAAAAAGTGTTGTGTTAGAAAGAATCTATTGCGTAAATTTCCATAGCGCATTAATTTATGCAAGTAAAGCGACATTTAAAAAAAAGTGCACAATGAAGGAAAAAAAAGTCAGCAAGCGTTATGCAAGATCTAGACTCTGAAGACCGCGGGGAATGTGATGTAGTAAAATAAATCAAAACTAAAAATAAACCAAGTCAAAACACTCAATAAGCATTTAAGGCGTCGAATACCTATTCTTTCACTTAAATTATGAGTATGTAAAATTAAATTATATTTTATTCGAGGATGCGTTATTTCTACACTAACGCTTTTTGGCACACGAGGCTCACAAACAAATAGCAAAGACGATGGAATAAAAGTCGCCAAACACAAGATTCTGTAACCCCACGTTTACTGTTTTAACCAGTCGGGGCAAACCGTAGAAGAAACGGTCTGTAGGCTTTGTGAATATGCAAGTAAGAACCGCAAATGCCTAGTATCACTTGAACTTTCGTCTTACCGTGTTAACTCCATCCCAAAAAGTCTCCTGATTAAATGAACAGGTATATTTCTCACGATTAGAAAAGTTTTACTGTAGCTAAAATAAGCTGACGTCGGAAGTACTTGGGAAGCAAGAAAAGGGGCAATATATCTTTCTATACAAAATTATTTGGCAAATGTTGATCTATAATGAAAAAACTCCGAGGTAATTTTAAAAGAAGATAAAATTTGCTATTTGATATTGGTACGGTTGACGCCGGTTAATGTGATCGCGGTTAATGTTATCATTCGGATATTGTTATAGAATTACCGCCGGTTTGAATATGAAAATATGGAAATAAGTCGCTTATTGCGACCAACATTTCGGGTAATGTTATCAAAATAATTTAGAATGAAATTTTTGAACCGAAGGAAATTCTCCAAATAAAGTCAAAATAAATTTTAAAAATTACCATGTGACCGGAAAATGTTCTTAAGTTAGGGATTACGTGCCCAAATTGCTTCGCTGCCAGTGACTTTCGTAAATAAACCCAAGCACATCATGTAATAAAATTTCTTGAGAATGTAGATACGAAATCGGTGAATGCCCTATAAATGCTGGTATAAGAGACAACATCCAAATATTAAGATTTAGGGGTATAGCATCGGTCAAATAATTTCCAGAAACATCAACAACATTTTATACATGAGCTTTATATAACATCTGCAGACATTCCAATGACAAACAATGACTTTCTTCTGAATTAAAATGCTGTGGAAGTATGTATGTATTTGCTGCTATCTACACTGCCCTCCAAAAGTTAAGGAACAACATGTTTTTGGTGTCTAATTTGAGAATGAAGCAACACAGAAACAAGAAATTTAGTGGACATGTTCCATTAAACAATCGTTTAATGTATGTGCTGTAAAATGCTTCTTAAGAACTCAAACATGAATTACAACAAAACATTGCACTCTTGACAGATTTGGATAAACAGTACATTACAGTTACTCGAAGAAAAAATGTGGTGGTAACATTATAAAAATGGGTTCTAATAAGGAATGTGTTCACCTCTAGCTGCAATATATTGGCAGCAGCTACGTTCCATGCTGTCAATTAAGTTTTCGGTCATGGGAAGCAACGAGTAGACACAGAGCAATTCTTATTCAAGCTCATTTAACACTTTAAAGGGAGATTTAAATCTGCAACCTGTCTCCCAAGGTAGTCCCAAAGATGCTCTATTGGATTGGGGTCTGGGGATTGAGCTGGCCATTCCACTCGCTCCATGCCGTGATTCTCAAATTATTCTTCATCAAACCGAGCTCGATGCGGTTGCGCATTGTTGTCCTTCAGAAAAAATCTAGGACCAATAGCAGCGGCATATGGGCGGATATATTCATCAAGGATCTCATCTCGATATCTCACACTGGTGAAAGTTCCTTCATGGAACACAGGTCATGCAGGTCAGTGTGACCACTTAGAGAGCTCCCAACTTAAATCATTATTCCACCACCTCTGCAACTGTGTCATTTCACAATGTGGGATTGGTTATATCTGGTGCGTTATTCTTTCCAGATCAGGTGACTACCTGAATTACTCTCCCATGTAAACCTGGACTTTTCTGTGAACAGAAGAGAAGCCCATTGTTGAGTGGTCCAGGAGATGTTGTTCTCCTGCCCAACATAAACGAGCAGCTCTGTGTCCTCGGGGCAAGGGGACACAAAAAACTGCTCGTCTAACATACAGGCTTGTATTCTTTTTATCTATCTTTTAGTGTTCTTTTTATCACAGACGTACGGTACTGCGAATATTCACTGCAGATATTATAAATATTTTATGATTGATCATTTTACTATTATTATTGCTGCCAGTGTTCATGAATAGCTAGTGTGTATCTTGAGAATTTATTCATGTGATTTAGTTATTTTAAATCGAATTTACGCTCTTACACTTATATGTTTATTTTTTCAGGATATTTATTACCACTGCCTACGATTTCATTCCATCCTCTGATCCGAATTGGCGATTTTGACATTGTTCATTGAAACTGCAAAGATTATACAGATTTCACTTTGTAAAAGGACATGTAGTCTTCCAACTGAATAAAACTTTTGTCAACGAGACAACTAGATTATTTTTATAGTCATTGATATAAAGATAAGCGAAATTTTATTTAGCCTTTTCTATAAGTAATTATACTCATCTTAAAATAAAATATCTTAAATAAGCAATCTACTAGCATCTATGAACAATATATATGGTATCAATATATATGATATTTAGCATCTATGAACGGTTGGTGAACATAAGTTCTTCATTATTAGTCTGCAAATTATATAAATTTCACACTCTCCGTGCAAATGGCGTCAGCAAGGGTGACTTTACTTCTGAGACGAATTCGACAGCATTTGAAAAGTTGTAAGCGTTTGAGAATGATACGAGTAGTATCCAGTCCTCGTAGTATCATAGGACTGGATCAAGGGGAATGATAATTTCATCTTATCGAGTCCTATATTGATCACACACATGCTATTGATGCAGTTGATTGCTGCATTTGATTGAAGGAAGTATGCACTCACGATATGCAGACTCCAGACGACCTCCACAAACAACAATGAGAGAACACCGAAGAGCTGCCTGACATCGCCTAATCTACCATTGGCTGCAAGTAAAGTAGTGATTTCCTCCCTGCAGCATCCTGTGAAATCTAATACTATTCACAGATGCTTCTCTCATCTACAGCTTAGGTGCGCTCCGGCTAGAATTACAATTTATCTTAATGACTGAAAATACCGGAGCCAAGATCTGGTGGGTTTCGACATAATTTAAGCTTTGGAAATATCGGAAAATCCGTTTTCCTTTCAGTGTAAACTTCAGTTTTCGGAAAAGCGTAGAAGCCCGGTAAGATGAATATAGAAGGTCTCTTTTTATTCAGAGCAACGTTCAACAAATTGCAGCCACACATGAAGACTACTACCCAATAATTGATAGAGAAGTTTACGGAACCCAAGAATTACTTACACTACCCAAGAATTGATAGAGACCCTTAATTACCATAGGTTGTATGGTTTTCCCCCTTGTCCACCACTATTGAGTGGAAGAGCTCTCTTGAATAGGCAAGCATTCCCAGTAGGCAAGCAAAGTCTTCTGCGAGCCTTCTTCAGTGTTATTACTCTAGGGCACTCTATATCTGTAACTACTTTTTATTATTCATCTAGCAGCAGACAATTATAGTGCTGTAGATAACATAATTACGTACACTGGATGGTGCTAAGATTACAAATGTATAATAATATGTAAAATATATAAAAGAATACAATAATATACAACAAGATACATTAAAGTAACTAGGCAATAAAATACAATATAATTCACAAAACATAGTAAAATACATTAAGTGCATTAATCACATATAGCTGTAGATCAACTAAATTCTTTAAGCTGCTGAGTAATTACCTTTATATATTGTCTCAGTAAGACATTTGAAAGCATAGTTAATGATCGCTTTATCTATGTGTTGGGGGAAAACCGTGCCTCTCTAACCAACAGAGTAGCTTCTCAAAAGGAAGTTAATATTACACAGATTGAAACGGAATGCTTTTGTGAGAGAGTATCATCTGCTATCCATTTCGTCTGACACTGAAACAGTGTACGACCGGACATGGCCCTGTAGCATTCTACGTTCTATGTTTGATTTCGAGTTACCTAGAAATCTCACTACTTTTATTTACAATTTTTTAACTCCTCGTGCTTTTAGATTCCGTGTAAGATCTATTTTACCAAAATATTTCATCCAATCTTCCAATCTGATGGAGTTTCTCAGGGCAATGTTTTGAATTGTTACTTTTTACTTCCTTGTACGAAGTAAAAAGGAAGTATTGTAATCGCGGAAAGTTTCAGGCATGATATTAAAACCCAAATATCCATTTTCACTCCTTTCGAATGCAATTTAACGAAGTTTTTGCGTGACATCTGTACGTAAGGACAGGATAAAGGATTCTTTTCCCCCTAAAAAATTGTAAAACTAATTTAACATGAATTCTGAGGAGAATTTTTCGTGGCGTCTGTGCGTACGTACTTACGTATGTCTCTCGCATAACTCAAAAACGAGTAGCCTCAAAACGTTGAAATTTTGTATATAGGACTACTATAACATGCAGACGTGCACCTCTTATTTTGGTTGCAATTGGCCGCACCAAAAGTATATAAATATATGTATATATATCCACTCTGTTACTCGGCTCAGTGATCTCAGTTTTATTACTCTTATGTGCTTGTAAATTGTGCATTTTTTGCTTTAAAAATGATTGAATTATGTTGTTCTTATCTTTCGGTTAAGCTTTTTATGCCTTTAGTAAATCTGTATGCAATATTTTTAGAATTATCAGCAACTTAAAAGTTGTTTAAGTGCCGCTAATCTTTTTTTTTTATGGCGGCCATTGATTGTTTACATTTGAAACAGCAGACTAGTGGATTTGTTGCCAATCTAGAGAAAATTAACTTCGCAACAACAAAGATAACGCCTTAATTTATTATTGCCAATTAAATCATGCCTAATCCTTTCTGGAATTTTTTCGAAGAAATAAGTGTTTAAGATTTACTTCGTAATTTTTAATATAGATATTTTGAGTTTTTATGTATTTTTGCTTTCTCGCGAAGGGAGAACTGAATTAATTGAATGAGAAATACTGAATCGTCTGTGAAAAACTGTTCTTTTTTTTGTTTTTGTTGTTCTTTGCTTAATTTCTTTTATACACCGTTTTAGATTTATTATAGTATTTGAATAGAACGTGTGGCAGCATGTGGCGATTAGATAATTCTTAAGATGATATAAATTTTGTGCATGAACGAAATGTAACGCTGTTAAGTGAACCTAGGGTAGCTATGCTAAACAAATATAGGGAATTTTAAAGAGTGCATTTATTCTATTGTGGTTTATGCGCTATCGACGAAGTAGATTTAATTCAATCCATTAAGTTTAAAAGAAATGCAAGAAAAAATAGTTTAATATTCCGTACAAGGAAGTCATGTGGTGCACACATCAGATTTTTTAACTTACGTATCAGTAACATATGTCATCATCAGTTACCACCATCTATTAATAAAAATTTATACGTTGATGGTTTCCAAATTTCCAATCAGGTTTCTATCATGCGTTTGAATGAACGGTAATTACAAACTTCTCTTAACAAGCTTTTGTATACTGCAATAAAAACACCTGCATACGATGTGTCTGGCCTAGCAAGAGCAGACGTGTCCATTTCTGCAGAGGAGGGGATCTTCACCCTATGTAAAATTTGTTCATTCGGGTATACACCTATTTCAGAAGTGAGTGAAGAAATACTTCCAGGAGTTACTTTTGATAATAAATTGACATTTCATTCTCATAGTATGGCCCTATGAAAGAAGAGTGAAAGATCACTAAATATCTTCAAGATGCTATTTAACATCTCTTGCGGAGCAGATCGAACGTCATTACTGCAAGTATAATCACGTGCATACAAGCGTAGAATTGAACACTGCGTGAGACTGAGTCGACGTAGTATCGATAAAGCTACGCCCTACACACCATAGAATCAACACCCATAGGCACAGGTTAGACAGAGTGTAAGAATAACACCGGTATTCAATGGACATTGCGTAATGTAGCCAACGATTATAATTATTAAGAACTTGTAATCAAGAGGGAAACAATTTGATTAAATTATTATTTTTAGGGTACTTAGATAAGACAGATTCAGCTTAGTAACGACACGAGCATTGAATAGATATTAGATAACGCAGCCAAGGATTATAATTATCAACAGCGCGTAACTGAGAAGAAAAGAATTTGATATTGATTTAAATAATTTTATTAGAATAAGATAGGCCCCGGCAAACACTCGAAACCGGCGTTTTAGATATCTTGCCTATTCTATGCCGGCAGAGGTAATGAACGTAAAAAAGCTATGTGGTTGATCATGCCAGTAGTTACATGCTTGTGCCAAAGATTAAGTTATGCATGTCTAAGTACATGCTGTATTAAGGCGAAACTAAGAATGTCTCATTAAATCAGTTACGGTTCCTTGAATCATAGCTCACTAATTAGATAACTGACAATTCTACAATTAATACATCAGCACAGGTCTGACCATCTGGGGGCCAGCGCTTTTGTTAGAACAAAACCAATCGGACCTTGTGTCCGTGTTATGTGGTGACTCTGCATTACTTTGGACTGATCGTACGGACTCGTCCAGATGACCTATCTTGTTGATGATATCTTGTTGATGACCAGATGACCTATCTAGATGACCTGCCTTGTTGGCTCTATGCAGTATCGGTTTTGTGTCGCATTTCAGCCCCTTGTCTTTTAAAAGAAACCGAGATCGTGGTTCAGTGAAATGAGACCAAATACGAGGAATGCAGTGCAACATCCGATTGAGAACCTCAGAGTAAAATTCTCATTTGTCGTATGGCATTTCGATGCGAAATCGCTGTGAACTAGGCAACATGTGCGTCGAAATAAATTACCAATATTGTCTTTTCCTCCGACTTTCGAAAACGAAACTCTTCCGATTTCGGCGATGAGGGAACTGCGCAATTCCATACTTTGGTATTTCGCTTCTGTATCGTAACCTGAGACGAAACATGGTACCGGAATCTCCATCTTCTGTCTCCAGTTATTGGGGATTGAAGTCTACTCTTATATGCGCCCTAATTTCACCAAATGTGGCGATATGTGTTCTGCGTTGGTTTTTGGCGCAATTGCGTATTATATGGCAACCCTGTTGACGTTGAAAAATCTTTTCCTGGAGTGGTTTAATTGCTCGTTGGTTCGTGTCGTGCGTGTTTTGGAATGGCCTATGTTGCAATGATAGACGTGGTGGGAAGATTTCAGTCGAGTATTTTAGATTGTGGAAAGTAAATTTAGTATTAAAAAGTATGATGTTGGAGTTGTTAACGAGTTGTTCACGGGTGTGTTTATGGGGATTGAAGTGTATTTTTGGAATTTCTGTATCACTTTTAAAACGGAGTGCCAAATGCGAAGCTGCTATGAGATCTCGGACGAAGAAGGGCGTTTCTGATAGTCGTTGTGTGAATTTGCAATCAAATGGTTCAGCGGAGTTTAAGATTTGGATTGTGGTTTTGGTGTAGTAAGTTAACTACAACAAAGTTTTCATCGTTACTTTCAAAATTTTGAAGCTCAGAAAGATATGTGATATAGCAAAATCGTTGCACTTTTGTTCAGAGACGTTGTGTGACTGGCAAAATTTTATTCAGGAATGTATTATGGTAAATACTTTTTATTTTACTGTTTTTATTTTGTAGAATGTTATGTTCATTGTTCTTTTACTATGAATTTTTGTTGTTATTTTTGTTCTTTGAATTAGTTGTAATTTAGTTTAGTTTATTTGGTTGATTTGTGCGCAATGCCTAGATTGTGCAATTCGTAGATGTTTTTTTAAGTTTAAACAGGATGCTGTGTACATGGTATTCTTCGAATGTTATTATTGATACGTTAATTTATGAAAGTGAGGTGTGCGTAGTTAGTAGATTCGTTCGTTGCCTAAATTGTGCAATTCGTAGATTTTTTTTTAAGTTAAAATATATCGCTGTGTACATGGATTCTTGTCAAATATTTTTGGTTAGAAACTTTACGCTTTTGCTATCTAAATTTTTTGTTTTTGTTTCGGATTTTTTTGCTTAAATTGTGTGTTCAAAACGTGGTTTTTGGAGACATTTTAAAATTCGAAATGTAAAAAAAAAAAAAAAAAAAAAAAAAAAAAAAAAAAAAAAAAAAAAAAAAAAAAAAAATTAGATAGTAATGTGGCAGCGTGGAGTTTCTCGGCCAAAAATGTTTGGCGAACTGAGGGCGCATATAAGAGTAGTTCGGGAATTGGTTTGGTTTTGGTTAGTTTATTTAATTATGGCAAAGCACACTAGGGCTATCTGCCTAAGGGGAGGGTTACCTTCGTGGAGGACTTTCTAAGGGAAACTTTCGGGGATTGTAGAACAGGTCAACATTATTTGCCATGCTATGAAATCGCTACACGATTCCATTCTCGTTGTTTTTGTTCTTCGACTAAGCAGTGAAAGACAAAGATTGCACAAATTTTACGTTGACCCATGTCCTTGGTGAGAATTTTCTAATGATTTCACGAGAAATATCATATCCTTCTGCCATTATTTGGACGGACAAACAACGATCTTCCTCATCAACAACTCGCTAACTCTTGTATTCTGCATATACGTAATTAATTTGAGCAAGGAAGCATAGCTGAAGATGTGTTGCTAAGTTTTTATATGTTTTTATATATTACCTCAACGAGAACAGCGTTATACAAATAAATTGAAAACAAAATTCACTGGAAAGTGCGAAGATCTTATGAATCCGCTACATATATTTACACGACATAGGAAAACGACATATCTAACAAGAAGCTGTTAAAAACTGCTTGAAATGCAGTGAAGTGAAATAAAATAAATTTTAATCGAAAACGGGAGGGTGGAACTTGACGTTGTATTTCTTCTTTTAACAACACAGATAGATTTTAATATCTTTTACGAGGAAAGAATGTTGTAACATCCCAAGGTGAGTGCTTAAGTGTAATTTCTGATCATTTTAATTTAAAACTATTTGTTAGCATTTTTAGCAGTGCCAGTTAAACTTATCTCTGGTTTTTACATCACTTCAACTTACAATCTAATATTAGATTTCTTAAATGAGTCATAAAATGCTCAGTTTAGTCACTACTATGTTCAAAATAGCAATATAAAAACATACTTAGGGAAAGTGTATGAAACCATCGAATATTCTACACTTGTATTTGTTTATATTTGCTTGAAATTCATTTCATTTTCTTAAGCCTTTATTTCTCAAAATATTCTAATTCGAAGTGTATATAAAAATGTTTTATTACTTCTGGGATTTTACATAATAACGTTTTTTATATAAATTCGCATTTCTGAGGAAATTATTTTTTAAATAATTTGTCTTCACTTAAAATGATCTTGTTACTTTAATCAGACGCATGTTCCTTAGCAAAGCCAGATTCTTTTAAATTCCTTGCCATGTAAGAATTACAATTATGAAACTAAAAATTATTAAATGAAACATTTCTGATGTTTTTGAAGACCTAGAACAGCTTTTCTAAAACTTTCTACCCTTGCGGGAAACTTTGAAATAATTGTCTCCTGAAACTTCCACCAAATCATTACATACAAGCCATATATTTATATATGATTAGCATTAGCAGATAACACTAGAGTTTCAGGGCACCCCAACTAAGAAACGCTGTTCTAGAGATATTGTATTTATTTATATGAATTAGAAATGAAATCATTAGTTAGTGATAGAGTTAGTTAGAGAGTTAGAGGTATTAGTTAGAGGTAGATCATGTTCCCAAATTGGAAGATATAGACATAAAAATTTACTCTTCATACCATTACACTTTCTTTTCAACTAGCCAGATCAGCAGTTGAGCGGTAAAATCGCTGGACCCTGGTATTTCATTCCTGGCTCAAATCCTGGCAAACGCATTTATGAAGTTTGATTATTTCAAGTTAGTTACTGATCTGCATTAGTTTCCGAGCACTTGGGTTACCACGGAACTCGTATGAAGGTTTCTTTCCTCTTGAACATGCTCATGAACATTTCTTCATGAGAGCTTTTGTAGTTTTCCTTCTACCTAATGTAAATGCTAGCCATTTTCGCGTCCTCCACAAAGGCATTGTTTCTCTTAATAATGTCCTCGCCTGTGTCTTACACCATGTTCCCCATGTGTAATGTGTATGTAACCCTCGCGGTTATAATACAAATGTAGTCTATCCCTAAACGATACCATTCAGGAAGCCTTGATGTAGTAACTGTGTCTAATGCAAACCGTATATTATACATGATAAAGCCAGTTATAATATGAGCAATTTTCTTTGAAAGTGGTGTAAGTCCATTTTTGATAAAAAGTTAATGATGACAATGAATGCAATCTGCTATGAGCTTTTTTATCTATAAACAGTCTCCCCCCCCAAAAAAAAATCCTTTAATTTTTATCATTTTGTCGATATAAATTTGCGTGATTACAAATAAAATTACTTTGAAAGTAGTGCAAGTCAATACGTCATGACTATTTTTCAAAATCCTCTCTCATAATAAAAATTAAAAGGCGCATATTATAAAGTCGTAATTAAAGTAATTTAAATAGCTTTACACGAAGAAACATTGAAATTTTATTTTGATTTTTTTGACATATTTAATAAAAATTGGTTTGATTCAATTGAAATCGCATATTTAATATTTCATAAATGTATTATTTTCATATTTTGGTGACTTTGAATGTGATGTAAGTCCATCTGAGGTCATCAAAAGGGTAAATTTCTTTTAACTAACCCTTTAAAAAAGGTCATATTATAAATTTAAATCAAATTAATATTTAAAAAACACAGAATGAGCGTATTAACATATGCTAATATTTTTCAAATCATTTAAATGCAAACCCTTAAATATCTTAATTTCCTTTATATCTATTTAAATAATAAAGGTTTTTGATTTACGTGATTATGGAAAAGCCTCGAGAGCTATCTACCTAAGGGGAGGGATGCTTTCCTGAAGAACTTTCTAAGGAAAACTCGCTGGTATACACGTTACACATGGGGAAAACCACGAAAACGCCCATTCAGCCAACCCATTCGCAGAATTCGAACATCGGATCGAACTACCAGTGTTCAGCGATTTTACCTCTCGGCCGCTGCTGGGCAATCTCCACAAAGGATTTACACCACGTTCAAAGAAAACGGCTCATATACGATTAGTTGAATCCAGGGGAACAGGCTGAATGCATGGGTGTTTTCCCCATGTGTAACGTGTATACGTTAATAACAAACTAAATCAAACCAAAGCATATACGATAAGCTTATCCAGTATTAGTTTCTGTCGAACATGCAGCAATATCTCGCGGAACACTAGGTTAGGTTATTTAATTACGGCAAAGCCTTGAGGGCTATCTGCCTAAGAGGAGGAATGCCTTCGTGGAGGACTTTCTAAGGGAAACTGGCTCGTATACACGTTACACATGGGGAAAATCACGAAAACGCCCATGCAGCCAGCCCGTTCGCGGGATTTGAACCTCGGACCGAACTACCTGTGTTCAGCGACTTTACCGTTCAGCCGCTGGTGGGCCGCGGAACACTAGGATTAGGATTCTGGCGAATCTGCGATGAAAAAGGCTACCTTACATGAGTTAGAATTGGATGTTTAAATCCTTTGACTACTATCGGGACGTATATGTCCCACTAAAAGTTTAAAAACTACTACTGGGTTAAAAAGTACTTAGAATCTCCTGAATATTGGGGATCATCTTCCAATAGCTGGAAAATCAAGACGCTGTTGTTCTCGTTGTACGCAAATGAACATTGATAAAAGAAAACATATGAGTTGTCCAATGGGTAATGTTGGGAATGCTTTAACCTGTACCATACGATGTAAAATGTATTTCATATAATGAAGTTTTCCGGAATAATAGGTGTGTTTATAGGAAGTCGATCGCTACATGTGGGACACATGTATCCCAACATTAACTACGGCTGGGAATATGTGTCCCATCCTTTGGCTTGAAAATCGTTTGTCAAAAAATCTCCAAAATTTATGACATATTTTGGTCACTTTGATAGAAAAAGGAATAATTTTTTTTTTAAAATTCTTAGTCAAAGGTTAAAGTCCGGCGAACGAATTGCTGCACGGGAATCTTCGTGGTTTTTTTCATGTGTACAGCCCAACAACGGTAAAATCGCTGAACACTGGTAGTTCGGTCCGAGGTTCGAATCCCACGAACGGGCTGTGTATTTTCGCGTTTTCCCCCATGTGTAATGTGTATACGAATCAGTTTCCATTAGAACGTCCTCCAGGAATGCATCTGTCCCCCCTAGGCAGATAGCCCTAGAAGCTTTGCCATATTCACATAAACTACTCCAGTCTTCTTCACGTGTAACGTGAAAAACCTTTAAAAAATCTTCAATGGCAATATTCCTCTCCTTAGGCAAATAGCCCTCGTGTAATAAATGTTTAACGTGAGCATACATTTTCCCATTATAGATATTTATTAATTTATTTCCGTCATACCTCTTAGCAATTAATTGAAAAACTGCATATTCAATTAAAATGTAAGTAAAATTTCATGCAGTTTCAGTAAGTGTATCTCGGATGGCTAAATCAAGTGAAGTATCACCAAGTTTCGCGATTTCGTTGTTAGATGAGGATTTTAAAGTGTTAACCTTACTTTTTCGTTGTTAGGTAGTGATCTGCAAAAGGCAATTTTTTTTCTTTTTCATGTATCGTTGATAACTTATAATTGACCACTGCTCAGTTTTTTTCAATTCTCTGATGTATTTTTAAACGAAAACGGATCGCTGCGTGCATAAGAAGCACAAAAGTTATGGTGGTGGTGGTGTATTTAATTATGGCAAAGCACACTAGAGCTATCTGCCTAAAGGGAGGGATGCTTTCGTGGATGACTTTCTAAGGGAAACTCGCTGTGGTGGAGAAAACCACGAAAACACCCATGCAGCCAGCCCGTTCGCGGGATTCGAACCTAGGACCGAACTACCAGTGTTCAGCGACTTTACCCCCAGTAGAGCGGTGCTTCATGACACCCGGGGTACCTGAACCAAACGCCCTACCCCCTGTAGAATATATCTGAGATGTTTCGAATCACATTACGGCTAACCAGGACTGATATATGTGATTTTTTTTAATCTATATTTTTAAGGCAGAATATATAACTGTAGGCCAGAAAGCCGATCGAGCTGGTGAAGTGATTCCTGAAATGCAAGAGATAAGTACATGGCAAGACAAGTGTGCGATCATTGGTTCCAGAGTGTACTAAAGGATGCCAAACAAGGTTGCAATAACAAGGAGTACAATTTTTAGCAGGGTGTAACATAGTTAGACATGTTACATATGTCATACACAGATACTCTACACAAGAATATACATGATACAGATATTAATATGTACAAATATAAGGATAAAGGGTACAGTAAGAACCAAAACAATTGTAGAGAAATTAGGTTAATTGGAAGCAGAAAAGATTAAAAATATGCAAACGCCTTCGCCGGGAATCGAACCACGGACCTCTGGAATACCGGCCCAGCGTGCAGAACCACTACGCTACGAAGGACGCTAGGAAAGTGGGAGAAATACCTTACACAATATGTACATTATCCACTTATTTAAAATTGCAAGAGGCCTGTCCATATTACTTATGTCATTAAAATCGTAGTCAGCAATATTTACGGCAGGATTAGTCAGGGAAAGTTGCTTAGCATGAGATTTCTTTGCGATTTTATAATTAAAAGATCTTAAGACTTTAACATTTAATTCTTCGTGAATACGATTGTTTCGTATGCACCAGGGGGCATTGATAATCTGCCTAAGAATGCCATTTTGCGCTATTTGAAGTTTGCCTCTATACTTATTACAAGTATGTGCACAAACAGGACATGCATAACATAACAATGAACGCAGAATAAATTTATAAATGAGTAATTTGTTATCTACGGATAAAACACTGTTTCGAGCAATTAAGGGAAAGAGTCTAG